GCGTGACAGAAATTTAACACTAGGGCAAAGATAAGTTATCTGCTTGTTGCTGCTATAATCCAAAATAGTGATAGAGATGGCATGATATGTCTGCCTTACAGAGTTTCAGGTTTAGATGAGAGTCAGGCACCATCTACTGAGGCTTACTGGATTTCACTGCCACTGCATGCCAACCCCTTATAGCTGTTAGGTAGCTCAATTCTACAGCTAGTTATTCAGAGACCAGGAAAACAGTAAGAAATACAGAACATTTCCTCATGTTTATGCAAGATTTTGTGTCTCTGAAATCTTGACATGGTCCAAATTATTAAGAAAAAAAAGGAAAAAAACCCTAAAATAGTGTCACCCAGACCTTCCAGCTGATGCAGCAGCACTCACCACCACTGGTGTATCAGTAAGCCAGTTACTGACGTAACTACAATTGTTTTTGAAGGGGTCATATCTGTGACTGTACATGTACTAATGCAGGTAAAGAAGTCTGGAAATCACATTATGCTTCTACTTTCAAATGAAGAAACAGACCGCTATTATACAAGCCAGAAGATGGTGCTGAGCAAAGAGAATGCCAACCTAAAACTCCTTCCTCTTAAACCAAAACTTATCGAGCTTCAGAAAGGAAAAGACGGTTATGGCTTTTACCTACGGATGGAACAAAACACTGGTGGTAAGAACCAAGCCAACACACATGACATTTGCGATAGTTTATTCCACTATTCCTACAGTCTGCAGACTCATTCTCCTCATCTGGCTTCTTAACAAGTCTGTATCAGGGAAACTGCCTCAACCTCAAGTGCAATTTCAACAACAGCTTTTACAGCAGAACATGATTACACTTACCAAACAGTCCTTCACATCCATCTTCTTTTCCCCTTTTGATCTTAGATCATGTAATCAGAGATGTTGATCCCAAGAGCCCAGCAGCCAAGGCAGGTCTCAAAGATGATGATATCCTGGTAGCTGTCAATGGTGAGCGAGTGGATGCACTGGATCATGAAAGTGTAGTAGGAAAGATTAAGCAGTCTGAAGAAAAAACCACATTGGTGGTAGTGGATAAGGAAACTGACGCCATGTATAAACTGGTAAGTAAATGCAAGCTACAACTAAAGATAAGACACAGAATAAGACACAGAAGCAGCAACAAATTAGTCTGTCAGAGCAGTTTATCTTACAGCAAGGGTCTAAGATGCATCCAGACTTCAGCAACACTCCTTGCACTTGAGTACCAAATCACTAAACATCCACATTTTTGGCCTCTTCCATGTTTTTAGAGGCACTGTTGGAACCATTCCATATTTGAAAGCACCGTAAGAAAGGCTAGAATAAGACAGCAAAATCAGAATTATTGTGTAATCTTCTGTGAGCAATACAAACCTTGTCACGTGGATCAACATTGTAGCTTTCCACTTAACCAGACATTAACAGCAAAGAGTAGCTCATTGCAACTCGTACCTGAACCATTAGAAGGTTTCAAGCAAAACATATTTAGCTAGAAACCTACAGATTTCACAACAGGTTTTATATCAAAGTTTTCTTTGTCACTGTTTTTTCAGGCTCAAATTTCCCCCTATTCATATTACTACAAATTACAAAACCCAGCTCCAGCAAAAGCAGAGGAAAGAGTGGAGCTGCACACTGAACAGAAAATGAACCACAAGCCAAGAGTCTGCAAGATGGTAAAAGGGCCAAGTGGATTTGGCTTCAATTTAAACATGGTCAAGAACAAACCTGGACTATTTATTAATGAGGTACTAATGTAAGATAATCAACAATGAAAAGCTTGCGTAGTATGTTGGGCAGCCCTCTCCCTTCCACCCTGTAAATGCACTCAAGAAAAAGCACAAGACAAAACTCTTCTCCAGCTCTCTTAGATAAGTTATAATTGTTAAAAGTCAGACTGATATTATAGGACCAATATTAAAATAAACACCAGAAAACCTCATTGCTTTTATTCCACTAGATATATAAAAGGAAAGGAAATCCAAATCTTGTTTCATTTCTTGCTTTTATTTACAAGGCTGGAATGCAAAAAAAATAGCATTTAAAATACAGATTTTTGAACTACAGAATATCCTGGAAATGTAAGAGAACTTTCCCTTCCACTTCTCAGAATTTCTGCTGCTGGCAAGAGTGAATCTTCTGTTATCACAAATTACATCTGTGCCTTTTGTTTTCTGGAAGGGAGGAGTTTCACACATCACTAAAGAATATGTTAATGTAGTCAAGTTACATTTAAGTTACACCATTCTAGGCCTATTGTCTCTTTCAATTCAGTTCTGCCCCCAAAATCTCCCTGCCACACCTATTTTGACAGCTTAGTGAACCATCAGTTGCTAATGCATCTTTTCAACGTTATGCTAACTTCACCCTTTGAACTTACCTTTGCAGGTACAAAGACACGGACCAGCTGATGTAGCAGGCGTAGAAAATAATGATGTTTTGGTGGAAGTGAATGGGGTGAATGTGATGAATGAGCCTTATGACAACGTTGTGGCAAGAATCAAAGAGAGTGGTGATAAAGTAACGCTACTGGTGTGCAGTAAAGATGCTTACAAATACTTCCAGGACCAGAACATTCCCATCACAGTCGCTATGGCAGATCCAGCCCAAGACACTTCTGAACCTCCTGCTTATACAGAAACCTCAGCAGCAGAGTCAGAGAGAACCTCACCTGAACCAAGAGAAAGGGTAAGTATTACTGTATTAAACAAATGCCAAGGGATCACTGAGGAGATGCTGAAAGAACTTCCTATGACTGCTGTGTATAACTGAGCTAGGATCCTCAATTTTAACAAGTCAGTCCAAGTTATCAAGAGGGAAGCTGTGATATGATTACTGTAAACAACTCTTTCCTTCCCCAGGCATAATGCAGGTGAATATCTCTAATGCACAATTAAATTACAGAAAGAATGCACACACAAGAGACTTTATGGAACAAGACAATCTACACACTGCAACCCTCAAGGAGGCAATACTGTCCTTTAAGTGCAAAAAAAGTCCTTAAATGCACAAAAATGCATAACCTGCTTTTGGAGAAATTAGGTGAAATATTTGAAAATAGATTATTTTTTTTTAGAAGAAAGAGCAATCAACAGATTATGATGACATTTTCAAAGAAATGCGCAGATTTAAAGTAATTTTGCTCACTGGCAAAAAAGAATCTGAAGTACGACAGAACTTAGAAGAGCAGCAAAATACTTCTTGAAACAGTCATTTTGAACCTTCTTTGTGGTCAGCCTTAAGTACTGAAATGCTTCCTTTTGATCATGCAAGAGAGACAAGGATAAGACCAATACTGCCTCCTATCTTCCTATCTATTTTTCATGACCCTTGACTGCAAATATCCAGCTGCCAGGTTTTTCATAAGTTCTGTCAGAAGATTAGCACTACTTCGGTGTGCAAGTTCACCAGATACAGGAATTAAACAACAGGAAACTTCTGTTAAACATATTTGTCTCTAAAACATAGCTAACGAGAAAGCACTTCAGTGACAAAAGTCACATTTACTGGCTCATTATGCCATCCAAACAAGTATATCATTAGTGCAGATTAAAAAAGGAGTCCTTCATAACACTGCAAACCAGCATGTTTACAAACTAAAAATAACCGGAACGTATTTGTTACTCCTCCACAGGCAAGCTCATCTTCCTCTTCACAATCAGCTGCCTCAGCAGGAGCAGACAGCAACAGCAGCGATGACACAAGGCTCTGAGGAGACTGACTATGCTGAGAACAAAAAAGAAATCTTCCAAATTCTTTCTTCAATCACACTTTGCTACTGCAACTTCAGGGTTTGACTATCCATACGAGTACCAGACCTGTAAGGGACCATGCTGCCTTGCTAAAATGCCACTGCCTGAAATAAGCACTTTAGTGTATCCTGCAGTCCCTTAACACGCTGCAATTGTACTTCATTCACTGCACAAGTCTTTCTGTCTTGTAAAATGGGGAGTAAGCCACTTACTACTGTAAAGGCTTTAATAATTAGAAGTACACAGTTAAGTATACTGCAGCACAGGGAGGAAACAGTTCATAAATTCCTAAGTATCTGAGCCTTTTAAGAATGAGCATTTAATAAAGACCAACTGATTTCTCACCATCTCCCAGGAGAGACAGTTCTCCTAATCCAATCCCATTAACACAATCCTGGAGGTGACGATCTGTGCTGTATTTATGGCAGTGCAATCGCTATGGTATGTCATGAATTAATATACTCTGTGCAATACACTCCTTTCTTCCACTAACACTGCAGAAATTTCTTTCAAACATTAAGTTAACCCCATAATTCATAACTCAAAACCTAAAACCTTTAAGCACTGTTCTCTCTCCTCTGCCTGAATTTGCAGATCATAGTGGTTAAAAGTGCAATTCAGTCGTGCCGGTATGTCTAATTCCAAGTCAACACCACAATGTCTTGGATGTTATATAAATGGCTCTGCAATATTGCTATTGTATGCTTTTTGTCTCCTTCCTGTACACCAAAGACAATACAGAATTAAATTGTTTTCAGTGGTTATTTTTTCCCCAGGTCCTAGCCTTACCACCTATGATTTATGTTCCAGAACAATTTTGTAACAAACAAAGCCTGGGAGTGTGTCTATGGGAAGCTACAAGTTCAAGTCACATGAATAAAATTTACTTTTATGCCTTGAATGACATCAGAAAGGGGAAACAGGCTACTGTAGAAGAATATACAGGTTGAGGGGAACACCAGATTTATAGCATATAAGGTCAATACATTTATAACACGTAAGGTAAACAAGGCATAACTGTTATCTTTGACTTCATGCTGAACTCTGGCAAACAGGAATCCAAAACCTCAGTTCTGTTTACGAAACAAAGTTGAGGTTCAGCAAGAGAGCTAAGCTCCAGCTCAAAAGAACAGCACGTACTAGTGATATCCTCTCAACTTCACTCCATTTCACTTCTGCCAGGTAGTAAATTCCAGCTCACTTGCAAAGAAATATTTTGAGCTGACAAAAAAAACAACTGTGATGCTTGCATGAGGTATTACAAAAGCTTATTTAATTCCACAGACTTCCACATTCAGCTCCAAAATTACCATTCTCTGAACCTCAATTATGAGTTGCTTTTTAAAAGAAAAATCACATTTGCTTGATGCCTTCTCTGAAGACATTCTTCCAAACACAAGATACCTTACCTCAGACAGCCTACAGACCCTTAGATACTGATGTACCATAAATTCCCTTTATTCCTTGGCAATGTGTGCATTCCCTTTCCCTCAAGCTGTAGCACCTTAAAATGAGCCACAGAGCTTGACTGAAGACATGGAAGTTCAAAGAGCCAGTGACATTGCTTGAACACACAGAACTGTCCTGGCTCTCCAAGTTTTGCAGTCCACAGGAGTTGCAACAGTCCAGCAGAAAGGAGACGGGAGCGTGTGTGTCTGCAGTCCTTACTTAGAGGGCCATATGCTTTTCTGGAGCTTGCTTATGTGCTAAGTAGAGAAAGAGGATGCTGGATAGTGCACTAACTAGAAATATCACATCAAACCAACGATGATAGAAGTTGAACTGAAGCTCCCCCAGGACTTCTGTTATAATAGTGCGGTACTCTAGAGGCATGCTCATTCGAATCAGGAGCACCGACGACACAAAGTACATACCCTGTAAAAAGAGAAAGTAGCAGTTGTTTTAAAATTGGTTTTGTGGCTATCATAGGCCAGCACGCAAGGACTTTGTTATCTTCCTTTGTATGCAAAAACAAATATGTATGTATGCACAAATGCATACAGGTATGCCCATGGTTCTGCATACTCACCATGATCTGTGCTAGAAGCAGAACAATAACATTGGAGGACTTGCTGCTGGAAATGGCATAGAAGAACTAGAAAGAAAAAACACACTGGAAATAAGCTGGACAACGATGCCTTAGGACATCAAGAAAGGAACATGCCATTCAATTCTCTTTCATAAAAAGCATGTTTTTTCAGAGAGGTACATGAACCCTACTTTTAGAAACATGAATCTCTTAAGACAGTGGCAGGCACCAACTGGTAAAAGTCATGTATTAATATTTAAGAGTAGGTACTAAAACCCAGGTCAACACAAGGAGTCACATGTCTCTCAAGTTAATACCTTTCCAGCTCTACAAAAAGAACTAGCAGTTCAAATGAGGCAATCTAAATTCTTTTAATCATCATCTCATGAACCCTTACTAATATGCTGGCTACAGCATCATTCTGAAGCCATGCTTACACTTAACATCTCATTGAGCATCCACACCTCTTCCTGAGAATAACAGTAATAGAAACTGAGTGGGGAGAATATATTTTCCCTCTCCTCCTCCTCTACAAGGATTTAAATTCAGAGAGTAAAAACACGAATGTGTACTGATAGTTTATACAGTATATGTTCTGTTTGAATTTAAAGATCTAGTAACATGATATTTTATGAGGAAAGCTGTAAGACACTACTGGCCAAACATACCTTTGTAAGTGTAATTAACAGGCCTCTGATAGAGGTGACAATAATTATTCCAACAAGAATAAAGGAAATGTGCTGAGACCAGAATTTCACCTGTATCAACAAGAGGAATACAGTTAATTCTCTAACTCCTTTTTCGCTACATCGTATAGCTGCTAATTCTTTAGGATCTTTGTACTTCCTAGCTGCACAATATCCACTGTAAGCAGGTTTACATTATGAAGATAATTGTGAAAATATCTGTTAATTCATTTCATTACACATACAAGTAAAAAAGATACAACTTACATCAATCATCTCTTTGGAGATGAAAAATTATAGAAGTGCAAATAACAGAATACTTGTTTCAAAGCTCTATTTCCTTTTCTCTTTAGTAAGTCAGAAGTCACAGATGCATTCTCAGGGTTCTATCACTTCCACATTATTAGTAGTATGCGATTGCTTTTGTGGGGTAAGAATTACTGAAAATGCTGTAAGAATTAATAAATCTCACATCAAACTGGATTCCCAAATAATTCACAGTGATCTCAATTCCTCTTGTGACTGGATCCGTCTTCCCCACGCGGTCAAACACAATATTGATGGTCGCCTGCAAGGCAGAGATGGATTTACAATCAAAGAAAATAAAAAGAACACCTCACTGCTACATATGAGATTCTTGTTTGCATATCCAAGGCTGGGGGAGCAGCTGGATTGCCTAAGAAGGTGTAAAAACACAAATATTAGAAATGCTTGCCTAAAGTTCTGTAAAAAGAGAGATGCAGAGCTTTATTCCAGACAAATACCATTTTCATTCAGAATTTGCAGAAGCAAGATTATAAGGAGACTAGGGCCTTACTTAATACACTGCACCTACAGCATAATCTGTGCAGGGAGTGACATTTGCATATGTGCACATAAAACAGAACAAAGTATTTACATACCATGAAGATTTTCCAGACACAATAGATGGAGAAAAAGTAACCCAAAAAATTGAAGTATTTTCCCTGGAAAGTTTTGGAGTACTCTATTCTTTCCTGGAGAAAAAAAAAAAAAAAAAAAAAATTCAAGAGGGGGGAGGAGAATACATACAAAAGATTCATTGCCATGATAACAACACAAGCCATACATTTTAATGGTGCACCAAGAGCAGAAACCACAGCTTTATCCTACAACTCTTCTAATTCAAAGGCTTCTGAACAGCTCTAGGAACCTGTAGTATACCTAAACAGCACATACCTAAACAGGAAGTAACCTGCCCAAATGAAAGAACCATAGAATCATCGCAGAACCACAGAATGGCTCAGGTTGGAAGAGACCTCAAAGACCATCTAGTTCCTCCCTGCCACGGGCAAGGTTGCCAACCATAAGCACTAGATCAGGCTGCCCAATGCCCCAACCAATCTGGCCTTGAATGCCTCCAGGGATGAAGCATCCACAGCATCTCTGAGCAACTTGCTCCAGCACCTCACTTCTCTCAGTGAAAAATTTTCTCCTGACATCTAATCTAAATCTTCCCTCTTTTAGTTTAAGACCAGGCCCTTGTCCTTTCACTGTCTACCCACGTAAAAAGTTGATTTTCCTCTTGTTTATAAGCTGTCTTAAGTTCTGGAAGGCCACAACAGATTCTCACTCCACCACATCACTACATTTCAACATTTACCTGCTAAACAGCTTTCAATTTCTGGTAACATACGCTCTCATTCAATCTACTTTAGCCCCCAGCACATATCTGGGCAGTTATTTTGTTTCATACCTTTGTTGCATGCAGGTCAGCAGTTTCAAGAAAAAGCTGCCGGCTCAGTTCTTCTAGGGCATCCACTTCTTGCTGGATAAGAGACAGATCTGGCAAACCAGCATAGTCAAGGCTAGAGTACACCACAACTGTACTTTTAATTAAAAGAAAATATTCCCCAGCTTCACCTCAAGGGTCACGTCTAATTGTTTGGCCGCTTCTTTTAATCCAGATCAGTTTTCTGATACTGTCGTAGTGCTCTTGTAAATAATGCACCCAAAGACATCTCAAGGGTACCTGTGTTGCACAGTACTCCATTTTAAGAAGGCAGGTAGTACTCTTCTGCCTAGGTAACACATTGCAGAACCAGAGCTCTCAAAGACTGCTTCTCCACTTCAATAAGCATCACTTATCATCAGAGTGCATAGCATTTCACACTCCCATCACCTTCACAAACAAAACCACTGAGTAACCGCCCCAGGAGATTAGTGATTATTATAAAGAGTCTCATCAAATAGCCTAATTCTCATTTTAACAGCCATTGGAAAAGGATAGGAAGAAGACTCCTTGGCCTTAAGCAAACTGCACATTTTAGGTGCTCTGACAAATTCTTGGAAGGCAATGGCAAGGTAGGGAAATACAGAGCCTTATAACTGTCCACATATTCCTTCCATCCTTACTGCATATGCACAACAACATTTATTCACATGTTCCTATCCACTTTTTGTCACAATGCTAGAGCAACAGCAGTGAACCTACACCATGAGAATAATTCAATTGTTCCACAGGTTGCTTCTTCCTCTGCAGAGAGGGACCTGGGGGTCCTGGTGGATGACAGGCTGGCCATGAGCTAGCAGTGTGCACTGGTGGGCAAAAAGAGAAACGGCATCCTGAGAGGCATTAAAAAAAGCACAGTCAGCAGGTCAAGGGAGGAGGTCCTCCCCATCTATTCTGTCCTGGTGAGGCCTCCCCCGGAGTACTGTGTTCGGTTCTGGGCTCCCCAATACAGAAAAAAGGCAGGGATCTCCTGGAAAGAGTCCAGCAGAGGGCCATGAAGATGACCAAGAGCCTGGAGCATCTCTCTTATGAAGAAAGGCTGAGTGACCTGGGTCTGTTCAGCCTTGAGAAAAGAAGACTCAGAAGGGATCTGATCAATATCTATAAACACCCAAGGTGTGGGAGGCAAAGGGATGAGGCCAGACTCTTTTCGGCAGTGAATGGCGACAGGACAAGGGGAAATGGCCACAAACTGAAGCATAGGAAGTTCCACACAAATGTGCTCAAGAACTTCTTCACAGTAAGGGTGACAGAGCAGTGGAACAGCCTGCCCAGATGTTGTGAAGTCTCCTTTTCTGGAGATGTTCAAGACCCACCTGAACACCTACCTGTGCAACCTGGTGTAGGGAGCCTTCTTTGGTAAGTGGGTTGGACTAGATAGTCTCTAGTGATCCCTTTCAGCCCCTACAATTCTGTGACTCTGTGATTCCTGCCTTTCTTCTCACTTTCCAACTCAGCCAAAAAGGCAGCTATAAGGGAGGACAACTGTTCCAGCACCTCAAACAGAGCTGTTGTTTTGCTCAAGCATGTCACAACTTCTCCACTCTGGAAAAGTGTATTTCAAGTAATGAAATAAAACATGTATGCAGGTAAGTCAGTGAGCCAAGGATACATCAGAATAGAAAGCTGCCTCCAGCTTCAGTGTTGTGACAGGGCAGACATCTGCAATGTAACACAAAGTGCATACATCTGTCCTGCAACCTGCTGTATACCTCAACTGTGATGAAGTAACAGCACATGTACATAGCATGGCTGCAACATATGACTCCTGAGTGTCTACATAAAACCATGAGTCCAATCCCTAGGTAAAAGTTAACACAGTACAGCGCTAGACAGCAAACCTCCCAGAAGACATGAAGTCTTTTGCCCAGGCTTCTGGAATGTATTACAACACAGGTGCTTCACAACTGGCACACCTAACACTCTTCCTTTCAAAAGAAAGCTGGTGTCACCTCCAGCTGCCAGCATGCAGATGAAGGATACTTTCACTGCCTGCAACAGACGTCGTAACACTTTTTATCATTCCCCAGAAGCCAGTGGGTTTGTTGTGCACTTCCCCTCTCTGGAACATCATCCTGTGAGCCACTGCTATTCTGAAAAAGCAGAAAACACAAGTTTTCAGGAGTAAAGTCTTTTTAGAATAAAGCAAAACAAAAAACAAAAACAAACTCAAACCCAATAACCAAAAAACAGTTCCTCAGAAAAGACGATTAAACTAAATTCACTGCCAACAGATGCCCCCTTTTTATTTCCCTAAGCACTAATCCTGCTTCATAACATTATCTTGATTAGCCCTGGAATAGAGCCCAGATCTAATCAAGCAAGATTCAATGAGACACTTCCTAAGACTTCTATTGGAATTCTGCTTCAATCCTTAGAGGGATTTAAATCCAATTAAAAATAAATATTCAAATGGCTTTCTCAGTCACATGATTAGCTACTTTCATCACACACACACAAGACTGTGCTATCTCCGATTCAGGAACTGGAAAAACTTTTCATGCCCCTTTCTCTCCTTGGACACCTCTTTATCACTGCACATTCCGCTTCCTGCACAGAAGTGTGAGCGCTGTGTGGTATGCAGCAGCTCTCTCACACGCTGTCACTCACTTCTAGGCTGCATGACAAGCTCTTATGAAGCAGAAACACATAAATCCATTATTGGACTGAACCACTGGACACATCCGGCGATCTAAACATGACTCCTAAAACTCACCCAATACTACAGCAGCAGCTGCATACTGTCCCTCACACCCCCACGTGCACTGCAGCATAATCCCTGCAAGCACTGCTGGCTTCTGGCCTCATTACCTCACATGTCTCTCCATTGAAATTTGTGAGCCAGTTATCCACTCTAAGCTGAAAACTATTCATAGTATCGTCAAGGCAATCCATGATTTGACAGAGTTCAGGTCCTTTTTTGTAGCTGCAGCCAGCACTGCTACATTTGGCACTGAGCCCTCTTCAAAGTTGCTGATAAGCAGTGTAATAAAAAATAATAACAACATAATAATATAATAAATCACACAATAGAAGTAATACCCTTGGGGCTCAGGTCTCCCCTGAGCCTCCTCTTCTCCAGACTGAGCAACCCCAGTTCCCTCAGTCACTCCTCATAAGGCGTGTGCTCCAGACCCCTCACCAGCTTAGTTGCCTTTCTCTGGGCATGCTCCAGGCTTCCAAGTCCTTCTTACTGTGAGGGGCCCAAAATATCTGCAAGGATGACTATGAAGAACCTGTCAACCTTAAGTGGCAAATTTCCTTAACGCATTGAGCACGCTCAGAAAAGATAGAATAATTCCTGTGCAAAAAGCATTAGCAAAACCAACTTCCAACAGCTGTCTCCAAGAAATGCTAGTCAGTTACAAGTCCCAGACATCCATACTTTTAACCCAACGTTACCTTCCCTGAGATGAGAGATCTGAACACACTGCACTAAAGGGCAGACTCAAAAGCTGTACTCCACAGTAACCTTTCAACTCAATGCCAGCATGTTAATATCCTCTCTGTCAATCATACAGCCAACTAAACCTCTCTGATTAAATACACCTTCTCACTAAACTACCACAAAAACACCATTTCTCACTAAATCACAAATACTGAGTTAACATTTGTCCACCACTTAACATTTTTAAAGGGGAAGAAAGAAGACGTGCTTCAACTACACTTTCACACGCTCAGCAGATCAGTTCACTGAACAGCAGATATGCATGCTGGTGCTTCATTCAGCAAGACTATCCTACATTGTAATACATTAAGAGGTTCCATTAAAACATTAGTGCACCTGAAGTAAAGTTTTCAGGGTTTCTGCAAGGGTTCTACACCAGACAGACCTCTGACATGGTGATTGCATTTACTCTTTATAACTGGCAAGGCATGAAATATGCAATTTGTAAGAGCACACAAAAATCCTTTCAGTGTAAATGCAATGACACTGTTTCCTGAAAGTCACTTTTTCACCTGGGGGACATGAAATAAGCTAAATCAACAAAAGCAGAATTTGGATGTCATGTTTATGCTACCCTCTGGTATCACACTACGCTACCATCATATTAGCAGTGTTCCACAACTCCACTATACCTTTATCAATATTCTTGCAAATGGCAAAGTTTACACAGCTGTATTCACATCAGCTCACTAGCTTGCTTCAGTTTTGACCAGGAAACACCAGATCCACAGAGCAGGAAAGACCTCAGTACGTATGAATTCAACTGCTGTACCAAAACTGCCAATAAGAGAGTTAACTGAGGTGGTTCAAGGGACATTTATTCATTGAGAGAGAAAAATGTTTATCTCAGATTAGTCAAGTTGCCATCAGAGAGTTAGAACTTCTCCTGGAAGCCTAATCTGTACTACTGCAGGAAAAAACATTGCCATTCAAGGCAGAGGCCTGGGAAGAAGCCTGAGTTGCGTATCAGGCCAGAATGAAACCCCATAAAGCTACTACCCCACTCAGCCATCTGTTTCACTGGAACATCTAGCCCTGGAAAGAAAAGTTGGGTAATTTCAAGACCATCTTATACCATACTGACTGCAAATCCTTGACATAATTCATTTAATGCAACTGTTCCTTTCTCACCTTTTTTTCTTGCTAATAATCATGTCCATAGTCTGGAGGAGTCGTCGCTCCAAAGCGAGAATATCTGCATCTGTCACATTCCTGCAGAACGAAGACTCCCAACAATTAGGCCTGCTAACCCATTTCAGAAGGATTATGCACATGCTCATAAAACAGAGAGAGAAGCTTGTACGAAGAGATCCTTCAGGGATGAAAATGGTTCTGGCGTGTAGAACAGCAATAGCTACAGTACACTTAGAACATGGAAAACAAAAGCCATCACTAACGCCATCATGATGAGAAAAAAGCAACTTTAAAGAAAAAAATTCTATCAATTCAATGAGAAAAGCAGAATAATAACCTCAAAGGCAGACAAAATATTTCACAAGGCTGCAATTACCTGAGAAAGTAGGACATGTAGGTATACGGACAGTTGACAGCACCAAATCCTGACAGCAAAGCCATGAGTGTCACCCCAATCACACCCACACGGCTGATGAGCTGCTCTATAGACAGGATTCCTGTAAGACAAAGAACACAGCATCAGCAACGGGCTGCGCTCTTCATCCTTTCCACAGCTGGTGCCTTTGCAAACCAGTACACATACAGAGCTGCCTAATGAAACCAGCTACCATCACAGTGCAATGATCAGAGGTAATATGAAGTATGGACAGGGACTACGAACAGAGAGAAGAAAGTCTCCCTCAGAAAGCACGTTATCATGCTTAAAAACAGGGGTAGGATACTCATACTGTGAAGAACATTAAGAAATCTGAAGGGGCTTAACAGACAACTCTTTGGTTCTACATTAATAAAACACTAGCAGCTGGACTTCGCTGAGGTGGGAACATACATCCACCAGGTTCCATAAAACAGACACGTTCAGCAAGATACTCCAGCAATAACCAGGACTAGAGTTACCAAACCAGTTGCTCCCAGCAATCTGGACCAAAACTCTCTGGATCATAGAGGGGAAGGCCCTATCCCATCAATCATTAGAAGCAACCCCTCCATACCAGGTGCAATTTGTGCATTAAGACAGCAGTTATGACAGCATGGGAAGTTCATGCTCCTGCTAGCTGTTCAGTATTCATTTTGTGGATATACACATATGACCTCCAAGCAAGCATTTTGAGCACCAGGTGAACTCCAAAACATACATACATACATTCACATGACACAGCATGAACATCAAGCCTGTGCTGTATCCAATATCGAGCAATGAGACTGCATTTATTCTTCCCAGCCATGAAGAACAGATCTCAACCCATCTTCTCAGGATACAGTGCCAGGTACTATCAAACATTAACTTGCTTTTTAGGGAGATACTTATAGAATAGCTGCTACACACAGCACATTTGGAGCTTACATGATTGCAAAGCTGAGATGGCCAAGTGCCAAGCCACATTTCATGCTTCAGAGAAGGAGAATAAATGATGAAAACACAGCAAAAGGACTTCACAAAGGGAAACTGAGATAACCCAGTCATGTGCAGCTGCATAGAGATTTACACCAGCTACAGAATGTGCTACTATATCCTGGCCTTTTGCCCTACACACTACCAGTTAAAACAGAGGTGCCTTCAAAATGACATGACATTCCACTGTCTAAAATAACATTCCCCCATAACACTCTCAGCATCTTTACTCTTGTGATCAGGTCACATAAAACACATGCTTTATGAATTCAGATGAAGATTAGAGTCTTAATAGAATACTACTAGGTAATCAGTACAGAATAAATCTGTCCAGAGTCATGCTTAACAAATTGGAGATCATCCAGGACTCCTGACAAAAAGTTCTGGTCAGTGATACATTTCACAGCTGCTGCACAGTGCCAGCACCACCCAAGGGTAAGGCAATCCCAACACAGGATGTCAGTGCATGTACCTAGAAGGGCTTCCTGCCATACCTCTTTCCACAAGATCCTACATATGAATTACAACACCACCTCCACAACAAAGCCCTGCAATAGCCTTATTAGTACATGCAAGACAGCAGCATCCCAGCCAAATCCTTGGCTCTAACTTTTTGCCTAAATCTGCTAGGATAAGATATTGTACAAACGTTAGGTTAAGGTACCATTCAAAAGCAGGAGGGAAGAAGGAAAAAAAAAAAAAAAAAAAAAAAAAGAATACCAATTCTGGATATCTGCAGTTGTTACTCAGCTGTGCAAGACTTTTAGAGTAGTCTGAAGAGGACCGTCTGAACCCTGTGGCTAAACTCCCTTTGGATTAATATATTCTGCCAACTCAAGTGGATGTAAGCAGATTCACTTCTTTCTTGGCAATGAAACACTGTGTAGTGATCTGTGCAACTTACAAGCTACTGTATTTCATGGGCAAATGACACAATTATAAAACAAGGACACACACTTTCTCTTAGGAAAGTTTTAGAATCACAGATGGAAGGGTGAGCAGACCCTGCAGCAATTGGTATCCTTCAATTTTTTATCTTCTGAGTCCAAAATAAAGTAGTCTCTCAGAGAACAGAAAGATTACGTTGATGGTTATCTATCCAGACAGACACATTCACCAACTGGAAGGAAACTGACTGCAATCTCTCCCGTTGAGAAAAACACAAACAATTCTCCAGTGCAGGGGATAATGGCAGGATAAGTTATATAGGAAACCCAAGTGACAGCTAATCCTTCCTGAAATGTTGTAAGACATACCCAGGTGCCTAAAGGATTCAGAACAGTTACACCCACACTGACAGTGTCTGCTGCATAACAACTAAGTCTACACAGCAACTTCACAGTATAAATGTTCTTGGTTCTGTGAGTGCAGAGCAGAGATACCCAAGCTAACCATTTCCAGCTGGCTGGCAAACTCCAGATTCCATGTTTCAAAGCAGACTGAGTTACAAGAAATACTTTCTGTAGCCCCTTATGTGGAATAAACATAACACAATAAAAGATAAAGGTAAGAGAGCAAAGACTTCTTCTAGGAGGGAAGAAATAAACAAGAATAGGAAACTCACCATGTTTTGGGCTGAGGATGGGAAATGGATCTCCCAGCTTCCAAAAGAAATACATAAACGTCAACCACAGAACACATGCAAAAAGCAGTTTCTGTCTGTGCACTGATGGAAAGAAAAAAAATAGTATTGAAGTTCTTCCTTTAAGGCATTTTCAGTCTTACAGAACCACTACCATAGCCCAAAGGCTGCTTAAAGCATAGATGGCCAAAACAGGTGTATTCTGACAGTGCTGGAGTAGCAGTATGCACCCCTTCACTTCCTACCAAACTCACTGCTTGAGACATCACCTTTTGCAAGAGCTTCCCCAGCAACACAGCATTTTGGCTTTTCCCTAAGGGCAGCACTGTGAGTAGGGAAGTACTTAGTCACATCTTTCTTATGTGATCCTGAAAATGACACCTGGAAAATTCATCTTAATGCCAAAGCTACACATTTTGGCATTACACTATACTGCCAGTGGCATATATCTCAGCTTAACACATAAGAGTGATGAATATTGATAACTCAAGGGTAGATGTGCCTTAGCACATGGAAGAGGCTTCCACCAAATAGTAGTAAGCAAAAAAAAAAAAAAAAAAACACAAGGATAATTTATTGAATTTTTCTGCTTTGTTTCTTTCACCCCTTAGTAGAACAATACAGGTGGGCCGAGGGCTTGGTTGAAACTTAAAACTCTAAAGGAACAAATTCCAGTTACAGTATTCCAAAGCACCCATCTTCGTTGAAACCCAGAGAGAAATGCTACGTTTGGGGAGCCAGGTGAAACACATCCTAACTTTTCAATAAACAGTTATTGCTCAAGCATTAAGCCCAGAACTTATCTAGCCAGGACAAAGCCAGGGGAAGGAAGAAGATGCAGGGAGAGTGACCAAGACATCTCCCTCTCAAAAAAAGAGTTCTCATTTGTATGTGCAGTCCCAAATTAGTAGATCCAATGCCATAAGCCAAGTACTCACATAATCTGATATTGCTCACAACAAAGTAACCGATGTAAAAGGGGACCATGAAGACTAGGATGAGTAAAATGACACACAGGTTCAGCTTCCAGTGAAAATATCGAGAGCTAAAAGAAAGCCAAAATACAGGTAAGCACGCTCCATCACAACAAATTTCAAAAAGACAATCACATCTCAACGCAGTCCTTTCAGTTACATCAAGCATTGGATAACACTGGCAGCCCTGCCCATGGCAGGAGTTGGAACTGGGTGGGTTTTAAGGTCCCTTCTAACCTAAGCCATTCTGTGATTCTATGACGCTTTGATAATAATTAATTTTGTAATGTATGGCTGAGTCAAGGAAAGGCTAACACAAATTGAAAAGATAAAAAATATTTTATGTTCGTAACTCAACATAATTCAATTAAAAGCGATTGTCTCACATGCAAGATATTACAAAGCAATCAACACTCCTCCGACAGAAGAGATCAGCCAAATTCAGATGAGATTCATCTTGGTTGAACTGACCTTCCATTCAGCTTTCCAAGAAAAACACCTTATTCCTAAAGTGCCTTATTCCCAAGACTGACCCACGTCCTATTCGTGTCTTGCAGAAGATCTCCTGAGGATCCTTGTCACTTTTTCCTAGCTAATTCAGAGGCAGACATTCTCATCTATAATGATTTCCAGCCCTTTATTAAAGCTTATAAATGCATCCTCCTCAGTGATCTCTCTGACTGTAAGTTCAATAATAAGATTAATAACACACAGTCTAAACTACCAGTATCTTATATCCATCTTGAACTTCTTGCCTTTCAATTCCTTTAATTGCACTCTTAGACTCATATGAAAGACAACAAATGGGAAACCCATAACCTTTCCCTGTTACTGCTCTATCTTCTCTTTCCTGCTGCTTTCTGAAGTAACCACCTTTTTACATCTTCTTTATGTAGAAACCCTCACCTATGTCAAGGAAAAATGTGCCTTTGATTCACAAATACTGTTCTACTACAAAGTACAGTTCTAACTTCACAATTAGCTTCACATCTTATTCCCTGCTTTGACCACTACTGGAAAACAAGGGCTTATAGTTTTTATAGTTCTTAGCACCTGAAAAGAGCTCTTCAGCATGATCTGAAGCTTCACAGCTCACCCATAAAACCGCTCTTCTATTTCACAAATGAAAAAACTCTAAGACTGAAGCTTTGTTTTTAGGCCACAATAATGACAACTGTGGGAGAGTCAGGAAATTAAGGCTTCTAGTTTCATGTTTTCTCAAATAAATCCTGCTGCTCAAACACCTCTGTTGAGCTATTTACCACTTCCTCACATAATTCCCCAATACAAGTCTGATCTACACATTAAGCTTCTGCACACTAGCCCTTCAGAAAGCTCCCAAACTCACCTGCTGTTCAGCACTCCCAAAATCTCAAAGATGATGAGTTCAAACATAGTACAAGAGAAGGCAAAAGTCACAGAGAAGATGACTTGGACAACATACTGTCGCACCTGCAATGGAGAAAATAAGCCAGAGCTATCAGGCATTTCTGTTTGTAGAATGGCACCCTGATACCCCTCAGGTGAAGAAAGAAAAAAAAAAAAGAACAAACGGTACAACTGCACACAGCTTTTGCTACCAGGTACACTGCATTTAATCCCAAAGGGAAGAAACAGCCTGTATCATACTGACTGAATCAATCCTATTTGAGAGAGAAGTCCTACAAAGAAGGCATGTAACACCTGATGGCAACTTGACTAATGATAGGCAATTGCTAACAGTGTTCCACGCTCTTCATCTTAGATTTAAGAGCAATTTAAGAATAAACTTTTCAGGTTGGCTTGCACTTAAGTCATCTCTTACCTAGACTATATTTTCTTACAGTCTTCTTGGGATAAGGGAATGTCATGTCCCAACCTTTATCCCAACCAATCCTCACAAACAATTTACTCCTCACCAAATTTAAACATTAATTTGATTTTGTCTCCAAAATTCTGCAAATATATAAGTCAAGCTTACTTAAGGAACAAGGCTTCTGTTACCCCTGCTCCTCCTCCAACTTTTTTTTTTGTTGTTGTTGTTGCCAGTACAGAAACTTAGTGGTTCCAGAAGAATCCATTTCCCCAGATATCTACCAGTCTTTTATTTAAAGTAGAGAGGAAATGAAAAAGAAAGTACGTGTACAAAAACTAAAAACAAGATAAAAGAGCTTAAAGAGTGGAAAAAGGTCAGAAACAGTTTTAAGAACACTGCAATAACTGAGAGTAATTTTAAGATAAAGAGTTGTGATGAAAATCCCCTTCTTACCTCATAATCCTTGAAGAGCTTGCGCATGAAAAACAGCCATCCAAATCCAAAGAAGAGCACCTACAAAAGAGATCAAGTATCTAGTATTTGTGCCCACCAATTTGCAAAATATGAAGCTGCTTCACTATTGGCTGTAGGTGAAAGAAATGGAAGCAACAGAACAAGGCCAACATACCCAAGATATTAAACTTGTCAAGGCATCATGGAAAGTATAACATTTTAAATATTCAAGAGTAACAGACAAAGAAGCCTAGAATCTCACAGACGATAGAGGAAAGAGAGCTTTTTCCTGTATTCCCAACTTCTCAGAATACCTCAGTTCCTGGCCTGCCAGAATCTTTTACACTGTTGCTTCTTCTTTCACTCTTCAAGTATACAAAATTAAAGCTTACCCTTTTTTCACAGTAAACACATTAAAGACACAAACAACTATTTACCTGAACCTCAAGGCAGTGGTCAAGTGAGCAAAATGCCTCCCCGGTTAGAGCAGAGCAAGTCTGAGAATGCCTCAGGAAGCTAAAAGGTACAATATGGAGCCAGATGCCATGCATCCCAGAGTTCTGAAGGAAGTGGCTGATGTGGTTGTAAGGCCACTCTATCATATCTGAAAAGTCATGGCTGCCAGGCAAAGTTCCCACCGACTGCAAAAAGGAAAACATCACTCCCATTTTCAAGAAAGGAATACCAAGGGAACTACTGGCTGTTGAATATCACATCTGTGTCTGGGAAGATCATGGAGCAGATCATCCTGGAAGAGATGTCAAGGCACACGTGAGCTGTGGAGGTGATACAAGACAGCCAGCACGACTTCACCAAGGGCAGATCATGACTGACCAATGTGGTGGCCTTTTATAATGGAGTGACAGCAACAGTGGACAAAGGAAGAGCAACTGATGTTGTCTCTTTGGACTTGCGCAAGGTCCAAAGAGACCTTTGACATGGTCCCATACCACATCTTTAAACTGGAGAGATACAGATTTGAAGGCAGCTCTATTCAGTGGATAAAGACTTGGCTGGATTGTTGTAGCCAGAGAGTGGTTGTTAATGCCTCTGCCAAGCTTTTATAATTTTTGTTATAGGTATTCCACATCATAACATCACGTAGAGCACTGGGAGTTAAAGAGTTAATGCTCCAGTTCCGTGGACTGCCAATTTTCCACATACCTAGTTTTCAGAAGAGAACTACACACTTCAGAGGACCATTCATTTCCATTTTCCATTCAGAGGGAAACATAAAACTGCTCACAAGTCATAAGACAGCCCTCTCTTCTACTGCTCGTCTCGGCAGTGCATGCTCCCTAGCCATCTCACCTTCAGCTTTAGAGTAAGGCCTTTAGTTTTGAACACTCTCTCATTTATTTGGCTTATTAGCTTCAATCCCAATTAACTTGTATTTCTACTGTTATAACTAGTAAAATAACTTTCCTCCTTTTTCCTCATTCCTTTCCCTCTTGGTTCCCCCACCAGCACCTTTTTCAAGCTGGTGGGCCTGATGTCCTCCTATCACAGACACAGACAGATCTAGAGATAACTCCATGACAGACTCTTCCATGTGGAGACCAGTCACAAGTGGTGCCTCCCAGCGGTCCATCCTTAACCCCAGGGTTAAAGTCTCTTCCAACACAAGCCATCTGTGGGTGATTTCATCGTGCATTAGAAGTCAATGGATTCCAGCAGCAATACAAGTAACCGAACATTATTTACAAACAAGGAATACCCGGAAAGCTGGGTGAAAAAGGTCAAATTCAATTGCCTTGAATGCAAAACTGGCATAGGAATAAGGTCTAGTGATTGACAGCAGGTGGCAAAACTGGTTTGAGGAGGACCTCAGCATAATCAATGAATATTAAGATGGTATAATTACAAAATAAACAAGAGAGTTTAGCAACACAGATAACGATAACAAAAAGAGAATACATAGAAAATTTACCCCTATCCTGGACTCACTTACAAAACTCCAGCAGAGCAGATCTCCAGAAAAGATCCTTCCCCACTGGTAGCCAGCTCTTAAATAGGTCTAGGAGAGGTGCAGCCAGGTTCCACCCCTTCCGGCAGCACAGGAGAATTGCCTTCAGCTGTGCTCCTCTGGCTGACTCATGGCTCACCTCAGGTGATCAATCAGAGGTTCAGGCCGTGACACAGCAGTTCCCATACAACTCTGGACTTTAAAGTAGTTGCTAGCAAAAATATAAGAGAAAGGTAAGATATTCCATAAGCCTCCTATTTACAGGCCAGTCTATAAGTCAAAGTATGATTCCATTAACAGTGGGGAAGAAGGAGAAGGCAGACAGACTTTTCAAAAGGAATAAATAAATGAAGTAGAAGAAAACGAAGAGGAGATATTCAGGGACCATAATAACAGAGAAAATTATATATGAAGATTAGATTTCCTTTGTATTAGGGACTATACAAAAGCACAGAAAGACGCTATCTTATGTTCACACTCTAAGATGCCTCAGGTGAGCATGAGTTTGAGCATTTGACAATTACATGCAGCAATTTAAACATCCAACTTCATATTTCTGAAGACGGCTGGAAGATGCAATGCTGCCATCACAAATGAAAGAAAAGCGATTAGAGAAGTTAGATCTTAAAAATCAAAGCAAATGATGGGAAAGCTTTTGTTCTAAGGGAACTAATAACAGTATCAAAGCTGCACTCAAACCCTGACAGTGAAAAGACATGTCAGAAACAAGTCAAATCTATACCAAGCAGGAGGAGATTTTACCTTTAAGAAACACTGAAATCTATCCTGAAAATTCTCAGAGGAACTGCAGTCATACATGAAACACTGTATAAGATAACCAGCTGCTGTTGAGAGGGGAAAGGTGCCATTTCCTCTACTCATCCCTCCTCATTACAGAGCACAGATTTTAAATCAGCTCTGAAGCTGATCAGATTCCTCTGTGACCCAGACAAACTCATTTATATGACAGAAAACCAATATTGGAGAAAGCACAAATGAAAATATGACTGTGCGGCCAAGTGGAAGGGAAGAGAGGGCAGAAGCAAACAATTGGACCACCTCTGCAACCAGAGGAGCAGAGAGGAAGAAATTTGGATGCTTACTGAGGAGGGAGTGGGACAGCAAGGTGGAGAGGAAGGTCAGAGACAACATAATGACAAGACAAATTACTGGGAGTTAACAAAGAAAGATGGAGCGTTTCCTCCCACAAAACAATAAGACGATCTCAAATATGTTAAGATTACCACCCAGCTTGGAGCGGTAAAGACAGGATGATATGAAACAGGGTTTAACAGGCTCCTGGATGAATTAAGCTGGAGTAAAAAGCAGGCTGGTTGAAAGATGACTCCGAAGGCAGCAGGAAGGAAAAGTTGAGGGAAGTTCTAAATCACATGTGTCAGCACAGAAAGAAGCATTTCAGATAAAATAGCGGTGCCTTTCTGAGATTCCTTAAAGCAAGTCACGACAAACTTTGCAGGGCTGTAAGCAAGCAAGCGCCTCAATGGCACAACATCGCAGAGGCCACAAATTATTAGTCTACTTAGGAAACAACAAAGACCAAGTCAGTGACACCTAGAGAGCCACAAAATGAGCCTTCCAGCAAGACCTAAGTTTATAGAAATTTGGCAGCGTTACTAGAAAACTCCATTCCCTACTGCCTTATTCATTGATCTTTTGCTGTGCGTAATATTCTGATATGACAACTAGGCAAGGCCAAGGGTTGCAGTGACACCCAACACAACAGACCAAAGAGGCGATACAGCCTTAAGCAATAGAAAACGTGCTGCCTAACACTCCTGAACTGCAGGTTAGTTGGTATGATTTCTATTTATTTCTTTCTAAAGCAGCAGGCGAAGCTATCCAGACACAAAGCCATTCCCCCTCCTCGGACCTGGCAATCCCGCCAAAACGCAGAGGCACCGACGCAAAGGCATCGCGCCTTCGCGGAGCGCATGCGCGCCCTCAGACCCCGCCCACACGCCCCTCAGCCTCAACAGCCGCTTCCGGAAGCGCGGTGAGTGGGTAGCCCGGCAGGCCCGAGCGGCCGGTCCCACCTCGCCTCCTTCTCCCTCACTCCCTCTGTGGCCGGGCTCTCGCCGCGTAACACCGCGCTACCTGGGAGGTGACCATGATGCTGGAATCGATGAGGAAGCTCATGGCGGGCCCCGTGCCGCAGCGAACGGCCAGCCCGCGCTAGCGCCGCTGGTTGCAGTGCGCAGGCGCAGGGCCCGGCGCAACGCCCTCCCTGTGGCGGGGCTGGGACGAGGAGTGCCGTTCTTCCCGTGCACTGGGCGGTTCCTGACGGGTGCTCCCCGCCCCGCGCCGACGTCACCTCAGTGTGCTGCGTTGGGAAGGCGACACGCTGAGTGCGGTTGTAATAATGGTAATAAAAATAATGAAAACAAACAGGTTTTCCTCGCGTTTTTCGTCAGTGTCCCACGAAAATGTTCTGTTTGAACATGTCTGCTGGAGAGGGTCCAGAGGAGGGTCACAACGGTGATCAGGGGACTGGAGCACCTCCCCTATGAAGACAGGCTGAGGGAGCTGGGCTTGTTCACTTTGGAGAAAAGAAGGCTGTGGGGTGACCTCATTGCAGCCTTTCAGTACCTAAAGGGAGCCTACAAACAGGAGGGGAATCAACTCTTTGAAAGGGTAGATAACAGCAGGACAAGGGGAAATGGTTTTAAATTGAGGGAGGGAGATTTAGGTTGGATGTCAGGGAAGTTATTTACAAAGAGAGTGGTGAGGTGCTGGAACAGGCTGCCCAGAGAGGCTGTGGATGCCCTGTCCCTGGAGGAGTTCAAGGCCAGATTGGATGGGGCCCTGGGCAGCCTGGTCTAGCATTAAATGGGGAGGTTGGTGGCCCTGCATGAGGCAGGGGGTTGGAGATTCGTGATCCTTGAGGTCCCTTCCAACCCAAGCCATTCTGTGATTCCTATGATTCTGTGAAAATGGCTGCTTTTGGGAAGTGGCTGTGGATAAAGGGCCAGGCTGGAGGCAGCCCTAGCGGAGGCTCAAGCAACTGGGGAGCCAAGGAGCAGGGACCTGCTGGCAGTGTGATGACTGGCTGAAGCTGTGGTGTTTGCCTGTTCTTAACCTGCCATGACCACTTTATAAGAGCAGAGCAGGATGTGTGCCAGCACCATGTAGGGAGGCTGCTAGGCGCCATCTCGCACCTTGGGCCCTTCCTGCCCTCTGCAAAGGCAGCCAGTCAGGGGCAGCTTTCAGGCCTTGCGACTGTCATGTATCGAGGAATGGGGCCAAAAGGGAAATGAAAGTTCAAATGGGGAATTTCCTGATAGCTATCAGAGTGAGACTCAATCCTTCATGTCACAGCCCTGCCCTCATTTGAACTTAGTGGTGTCTGTATCTTTTTTTCGCCATTAAAAATACACCTAACCTTTGCCACAGAAAACTGACTGTATTTGGAATAATAAATCACATGGGAAGTGAGAGAATAAAGCGGAACTAGGCAGGACTTCAACAAAGCACAAACCTCTTGCTGAGTGAAAATCAGTATCCTTTATTCATTACAACTCATTTCACTAGAAAAACGATTCCATGTGTGGTTGTGTTGAGTCATCGGATTAGTCCCACAGTCTCTTTGATAGTTTGGCTTTCTATCTTGCTGTCAGTCATCATGTTTTGAAATCTGTCTCCTTGTCTACAGCATTGCAAAGACAAAAAAACATTCAATTTTCATGGGCAAATGAACTGAGGGAGCAATTTACAGTTTCTGATCTGAGGCCCTCTTTTACAGCTTCTGGTATTGCTGCCAATTAATATCGAGCTGAGATCAGAGCTTCCCTCCCTGCTCATTCTTTCTGTGCCTACTGCTAGAAACTGATCTTTCCTAAAGTGATGAGCCTGCTGAGTTTGGGGTACCTGTGGTTGCTCTGTTCTGCAGCAGTAGCTCTTGGGGCAAGGTAGGTTGGTTGACTGGTTAATTTTCAGAGACAGTAGATAGGAATCCTGTCACGATTGAATTGTTGGAAGCCAAATTCTGGTCTTGTTTAACCCTGACAACTTGGCTGATTTCAAAAACAAGGGGAAAAGAAAAACAACAAGACAGAGTTTGGTCATAGCTTTTTAAACTTTCTTCACTGTGTGTGTTTACAAATAGACTTGAAACATGCCTGTGCTAAGCTATAAATTATTGATCTCTGATTCTTGTAAGAAGGGAAGAAGATGATTCCTGTCAGAAAACTTCAGATCAACCCCTCCATCCCCACCAGGCTTCTCATTCAGGGAAAACAAAAAGTTTAATTATAAAATGGAAAAATATTCCATGTTGTTCCTCCTTAAGCAGACACTGGTAAGCACGTCTGAGGAGAAGGGCCCATGGCAGCTTCCCAGATGTGGCAGGTGGGTGGTTTCACCAGACACAGTGTAGATGATAGTGGCTGGAGCAGGGAGGCAGCACACGAGGAAAGGAGGCTGGTCAGTGCATTGCAGGTTTCTGCTTAGCTCCATCTTCTATTCTTGCACATCTTAAAGTGTGAATGTGGGTACTGTATGTTCAGTTCATAGTGAGAACTAGATTAAAGCCTTTAAAGTAAAGTGGAAAGGTGGAACATACTGATTTAAAGCAGTTTGTTGTGGTGGAATATACAGAGATAGCATAGGCTTCCAAAAGGTGCTACAGGGCATATTTATGAATAATAGGCTTAGCTGGTAGCTGGCCATCCATTTTCATTTCTTTTCTCTCCAGAGTTTTTCATAAGCAGGAGCTCTGAAGCTTGGGAGCAATCTGACATCATTCTGATTTCTGAATTTATTTTTAATTTATGTGTGGTGAGTTCTGGGTCTTGATTCTCACTGACAGAAATTTACTCTTTTGCAGGGTTGTCTTATGGCTTTTCTTTGGACTAACATGTATGTATTGAGAAATGTGCCTGAGCATTTTTGTCCCAGTAGTTTTTGATACATCACGGTTGAATAATTTGAAAATGAAAAGAAAAAAAAAACAATACACAATATCTCTGGGTTTTGGTTCTGTCAGAAAAATCCAGAATCCAGTGCATAAAAGCTAAATTACTTTAAAATTGATGATCTTCTTAAAAATCCATCAATATCAGATTTGGTAATAGGCAAGGTTTAATTTGCTGGTCACACTGGCTTGCCTTACCCTTGTCACGAGGCATCCAGATTACAGGCTCACAGGCTTCTCAGTGTTGGCCTTTGTCTGCAGCTGCCCCTTAGTTGGAGCACCAAGCTGCCATCCTGCAGGAACTCTACTCAGTAGCTGCCTGTAGGCCACTGAACATCAGAGAAATTCAATAGGAGCCAACTTTTCTGTTTAATGTTTCTCTACAAATTCTTTCTGCACTGACATATAAATTTTTTGGTAGGCTACTCCATGATTTCTCTAAGCACTCTAGCCTTAACTCTTAGAAAAAAAATAATAAATGGTTTGTTTTGCTTTTACTGTGCTAGGCTGGATCCAGCAAGGCAAAGGCCAACAGCCTTTGTGCGTTTTGGGGGGTTTTTGTTTTTGTTTTTTTGAAATGTTGTCAATAGCTCTGTAATCACCATTTCTATTCAATTCTGCTTCATCCCAGATCAGCAAGCTTTAAAGCGCAGTTGTTTGGGTTTTTTTATTGTTGTTGACAGAACTTTAAAATGCAGTCCTCTACATTTTCAGATGGATTTAAAGTCACAGCTGAGACTGAGGGAGCTGGAAATACCCAAACCCCTTTTATTTCTGTGATTTTCTCAGCTGACAAGCTTACTCATAAATTTTAATTTATAGTGTTCTTTCCAAACCAGTTACACAACACGTTCCTGGCCCCAAGCAGCTTTTCTATCTACGAGACATTGGTTGATAGTGTTTTATGCATCAGACTCACTTCAGTGCCTGTTCAGTTGGTGTTGCCAGCTAAGACAATCTAAGTAAGCTCTAACAGAGCACCCACAGAGGCAGGAAATGCCCCACATCAACTGTTTCACCTCACAGTGGCTTCACTTTGCTTTCAGCCTCCCATGGGATACACAGTTGAGGCTGAAAAGAACCAGCTGCTCTAACCTCATGCTCAGTGCAAGAACAGTTTCTAAGTCAGGCCAAGATGCTCAAAGCTTTTCCCAGTCAGGCTTCACACTCCAAGGATGGAGCACCTACCATGACTCTGGGCACTTCTTTCACTGCTCAATCTCTCTCTGAACAATTTTTTACCTTGTCAGAATTTTTTAGTTTCTTTTTGGGGAAAAAAATGAAATTCCAATAGTTGGACAACTCCACTGATTTTGATGTTTCTCCAGCCCTGGCCCTCAGGCAGTCTGGCACCATATGCCATTTTATCACAACAGCTTTAGGCTTATAGGAAAGCTTTAGTCTAGTTCTCATGGATGCTCTTGTCTACTAAACAAAAGTATGCCTAGGCTGGGATTACTTTCAGTTGTCAACTTGAAAAGCCATTTTCTATACAAAACAGCAAGCTGCCACTTTTTTTCATCGAGTACCAGGGCTGCTGTTTAAATGAAAAAATGCACAGTCAGTGAGTTACTGAGTAGCAGGAGAAGCTGGACTTTCTTCCCTTAGCAAGTAGATTCCATGTCCACACTGACCTGGAGAGCAGAGGTCCCCTCAAATCTCTCCTATCCTACAGGAGAAGGAATCTATACATCACTGATTTTCATCACAAAGGGACTGTTAGATCTGTCTCACTTACTGGAAATAATCAGTGTAGCATAAAAATTTATGTTTTTACATCTACATGGTTACTTCTTATTTTGTTTTTGTTGTTTTGTGTTTTTTGTTGTTGTTGTTGTTTGTTTTTTTGTTTTTTTTTTTTTTTGTATGTGCCATAAGCAATTGTCAACTTTTCTATAGAGGTCTTTTTCCACAGAAATTCTGAAAAATTCACTTGGAGTTTGCACTGAGGGATTTAAAACAGAAGCCCAGCAATATTGTGCATTATACAGCCCTCCCCCAGATGACTTGCAAAGCCAATTGCTCCACCTTTAAAAAAGCTCCAACAACCTGCACCTCCCTCCAAGAACTTGCTTATTTAAGCATAAATGTTACCACAGAACAGGTGCTGGGATGGACAAGAGTGGTCCACGTAACCCCACTGTGACCACAGCTTCAAATGGCCAAACCAATGTTAAGATGGGAGAAAGGGGTGAGGAGTCAATAAAGTCTCCTCCATTTGTGGCAAACCCACATCTGTGTTAATGGTGTCAGTGCAATGCAGTGTTCAGATTTTCACACTACTGCCCTTTTGGTCAAAGAGTCACATGTTAACCAAGTTCGATGTTCTGGCAGGAAATAACAAGGATACAATGCATTTCAGCAGTGCTTTTCATCAGATCATTCCTACTTACTTTACAAACAGAATTAAGGAAGCCTCACAACATCCCTGTGAGGTAGGTGGAAATTCTTACACCCATTTTACAGGTGGAAAAAACAGGTACCAAGAGGTAAAGTGATTATCACAGCAAGTCAGTAGCAGAGCTGGAAATAAATCTAAGATCATTATCCTAGGTCCACTGCTCTAGACACTAGAGAACACCAACTCCCACATGCTAATATCAGCTAAGATACTACCTTCCTCTTCTATTTTAACCTCTTTTGGTGAATTTGACACTTGCATCCTAAGCTCCTTGCAGAGAGCCATGTGATCAGTTAATGATTTATTTGCACAGGGAGCCAAGGGAATACCACACACCCCTAAATGATACAAGCATGACTCTAATTGTCCAGTGTTCACTTCCCAAGATAACTTTCCTCGTTCTTTACATTTATTAATATATATGTTTTACTTTTTTTTTTTTTTTAATACACCGAATCCACAGCTCTGAGGCTGTTATTCAACTTCACTAGGAATTTCCTGAAAAGAGATTAAATTTGTCTCATTGAGGGGGGAATAAAACACATTTAAAGGCTATTGCATCCAGAAATAATCCTTTGCTCATCTGTAGGGCTTTCCTTCCCAGTACCTCCCATCCTATTACTAACAAAATATATTGAGCCTCACATTGTCTTCGTGAGGTAGAAAATGATTCCCAATTGTACAAGAGGGAAGAATGACTTGCTGACAGTCCCAGCAGTGACATTACTGCAGAGATGAGGCTGAATACCATAGAACCTGACTGTTAGTTCCCTGCCCAGTTAGCTGAACAGCACTGCTTTGATGCCCTGGCTCATACTCGGAGGCTTTAGCAGCTTGGCAGGGTACTTGAAAACCGGCTCGAAAAAAAATCAACTAGCGCTTGACAGGATGCAGGAGGAAAACATTAACTTCATTCATTGCACTGTCACAACTTGGAGGAAGAAATGAGCTTTCCTGCAGCAGCACTGAAAGAACAGCAGAGTGTCTGTTCAGGGTGTTGCATGTACTGCACTCTACGGAGGCACTCCAGTGAAAAAGAATGACGTACTCAACATCTTACAGTTGAAGACTGGATTGTCTGACATCCATATTATGAACCACATACCTCTAATTAATGAGTAGTCATCTTTAAGTAGTCCAGTGATCTAAAGAAGGTGTGCATGTCAGAGGTCAGGAATGGGGATGGTCATCAAAATGCTTTGTAAAAGGACTTGTCAAGTAATTAGTAGTAAACAAGGATGGGAGGTGGTTCATTTAGTCCAGTACATTGGTATGTGGAAGGGTCAGATGCTCTCAATAAGGTGGAAGATACCTCACACTGAACAGTTACCGATTCTTTTTTTTCACCTGCAGGGAAGGGTTTTTCCAGTTCAAGTGAACTCTGCTATGTTTCAAACTATTAAAACTCCATTATATCTTCTCTGTGAAGGAAAAAAGTAATACATCCCATATATTATAAATGTGCTGGCTTTGTTATTCATCTAAATCTTTGCTCTTTCTTGGATTCTAGTAGCGTATTGGGCACAATGGAATCTTTTCCAGTTGAAGACTTCTTTCCTCGTTTATCTTTTTCCACCAGCCTTTCGTTGGTGCTAACTCTTCTCCTGTTTCTGTACTGAGAGAATGGATAGATGGTAGCCTCCAAATTCTCCCTCCACATTTTCCTTCACATATCTTGCTTTCTCGTATTCTTTCTCAGAACTGAGGAGGTACCTTCCAGTCTTCCTTCACAAGGAATTGTTCCTTAAAAAAACTAACAGCCTTTGTCAAGGGAGCAAAGATTATGTCAACAGGCTGCAAACCATGGGAAAATACACAGGCCCGAGAGGAGCAAAAGGATTAATAGTGTAAAAAAAAAAACAAACACGTGGCACCGCTGTGGTGCTGAAGAATCCCAACACACCCTACAAACTTTATACATATGTACAGCTTACTTCACGCATCAGTGAAGTCCAGCCAACTTTGTGCTAGACCACGAAGGCTGCAAAACAAGGCACATGAAGTCCACCAAGCAGGTTAATCAGTGACAGAGCTGAGTGTACCTGTGGTTGCCTGGGCTGGGGTGTGGGACGACAGGACTGAGGGTATGAGCCCAAGCCTAGGACATCTATCTCAGACACCCAGCTAACTTCAATGGGCTTTGGGTCAGCCCTGCTACAATGGAAGATGGCAGGGGGTCTTTTCTAACTAATGGCAGGATGAGTTATATGCATTATGCCAAAGACTGCTTTTTTTCCTGATCTGGATTAAAGCCTGCCCTGGGAACAATGGAACGGGCTGCAGCCCAGCAGAAAGAATTCGCTGAGCTGGTGGAGTCTGAGGTTTGCAGAGCAGAGCAGATGAGAGTGCATACCTGCACTTTTCTGACACGAGGCTCAGTTTTAGAGGGGACATAGCAGTTAACCCGAAGCTATAAATGCATAGCTGCACTGTCCCAGCCCAAAGGCTCTGCTGCAGTCCTGAAGGTAGAAATCCACAGACATTTTAACAAGCACATCTTTTTCTTCCTTTTGTAACTAAAAAGATTTACTGAGGCTATGAGAGTTCTGCACAGACCTGTTGGCACAAAAGATCTAAAAGATAAAGGCTATGACGATACCTTTCTCTCCTACTCTAAAAGATCTCTTGAAAGGCCTTGTTTTATTTGAGACTTTGGCATTTAATAGCAAAGTAGGCCACTGGATGGCTCCCGTCTGTCAAATTAAAAACAAAACATGTCAGAATTATCATTTCAGACTTTTCAAACTTGAACAACCAGTTTTGTTTCAGAGTCACATAGTTACCTGTGGTTTAGATTCACAGGTGCCTTCAGGGTGCTGTACCTGAGATTTGCTGAGTGCCTGTAAGTCTTGGGGCTCCAGGAACTGAGCACATGTCAGGATCATGCTGTGAAGGCTTGTATTTGCTTTCATGCTCTGGGAACTGTAGCTGTTCTTTCTTTCACAGAAACCCTTCCACACTTGCTTCGCTAAATTGAGTTTCAGATCTTTACATCACTGGATTATAAGTAAAAATATAACTTGATTTTTTTCTTTCTAGTGCTCTAAAGTGCTCAGCTTGGAGCTGGATAACTCTCTTGGGAACAAATAATCCATCTGTGAGCATCTGCTAAGTCCTAGAAGACAGCTAGAGTTAACCTTGCCCACTGTCAATGTCACTAAAAGAGCAAAAATATTTTTGACAAAGGGAAAATAAAATACTTTTACCTAACTCAAATTTACATTCACAGAGAAATTATAGATATTTCTGGTCTTTGCTTTCTCAATAAAGAGGGAAAATAGTGCTTACTGTTTTGGTGTCAATGCCAAACACAGAATTCACTTTGTGAATTAAATAATCGCAAATCCATGCCAACAGCGAAGGGGAGATCTGCTCAGCATGCCATAGGTGAAAACAGAAAAAGAAATAGTAGGTACGGTTGTTTATTAGCCTCCCCCTTAGATGGCTCATGAGACAGATCCTCCCCACATTCCTAAGGAAATGTGGAACACGAAGCTTCCAGTAAGTACATTCACAGTGGTGACATCTGGGTTTCACTGCCACATTAGGTTTTAAAACACATCAGTTATGTGGACAATGTAGATATTACTGTAAGAAATGAGCTGGCATGTGGAAACGGAAAATGTTCCTTTTCAAATGGACATATAGGGCAAATAAGGCACAGTTACCACAATAGTACCTTTCCAGTTGAGAATCTCAAGATGAAATAATATTTAAACGATCATTTTAGCACTTTGCTTAAAATTCTTCTGCTTCTTTCTCTCTCCTTTTCTTTTTCTTCTTTTCTTATGCTCCTCATATCCTGCATCCTCATACAGTCAAATCGTCTGACCTGGCCCGGCTGCTGGCTTTGCTTAGCCTGCTGAGGGATCTCACATCAGAGGCAAGTTCAGCAGGTGCTGAAGGCCCTTCCACTTCATCGCTCACCACCTCCTCCTCTGCTTTCTTCACCCCTGGTTCTTCCTGAGGTGCTGGCTGCTCCTCTTGTTCCTCTTCCTCCTCTGCTCTTACCTTCTCCTCTTCCGGTTCCTTTGCTTGTGCATACGATGGCAACCTCTCGTCGAATGCCCTGGAGAGATCTTCCAATGGCCCCATTCCGATCTTCTCCTCAAACTCATTGAAGGCCGATGGAAGGGGACTGGGCTCAACCCCTACTTCCGTGAGAGGGAAATAGTGGGACACTGGCTTTTCTTCTTCTAGCAGCTTGTAGCCTTTGGCCTTCGGGATGGAGGACACTGCAATAGCATGCAGGGGCTTCTCTGGCACCTCCCTCATTTGCTCTTCTGCTGGTCTTCTCAGAGCCCTCCGGATCCTTTTCAGGATCAAGTGACTGATCTCCACCAGGTTGAGGAAGAGGGACACAGAAGCCACCACGAGCATGAACATAATAAAGATAGTCTTCTCTGTAGGCCTGGAGACAAAACAGTCCACTAGATTGGGACAGGGCCACCGCCCACAGCGGTAAAGGGGCAGAATGCGGAAGCCATACAGGAAATACTGGCCAACTATGAATCCCACTTCAAAGAGAGTTTTGAAAATGATGTGGAAGATGTATGTTCTCAGGAGAGTCCCCTCCAGGCGAAACTTCTTGGTCCCATCTGGGTTGTTGCCCTTGTTTTGATTTGGAGCTAGGGGCAGCTTCTCTTCATCCACCTCGGCTTGCTGACGCCTCTCAGCTTCCTCCCTCTCTTTTCTCTTCTCCTCCATGCGGACGTGGTGCACCGCATGCCCAAAGTACACTAGTGAAGGCGTGGATACAAAAATGATCTGTAGGACCCAGAGCCGGATGTGGGAGATGGGGAAGGCCTCATCATAGCAGACGTTCTCACAACCAGGTTGCTGGGTGTTGCACACAAAGTCTGACTGTTCATCTCCCCATACTAGTTCAGCAGCTGTTCCCAGGATCAGGATGCGGAAAATGAAGAGCACTGTGAGCCAAACTCTCCCGATGACAGTGGACTGCTCGTTCACCTGCTCTAAAATGTTCCCCAAGAAACTCCAGTCACCCATTTCTTACTGTCTAAGGAAAGAAAAAAGAAAGAGAGAATGACGACAAATTATGCTAAATTTAAAAGACTTCACATTTTCCCACTGATGCTTGTTACTTTCAACTAGTATTTCTCTAATACGCTTTGAGAACAGAAAGAAGATTGCTTGCTTCTTTGCTCTGATTGCAATGATTTATTAGCAGGAGATAGGTTGGAAAGCCAGAGCAAACCGCTTGCCAAAATCATTCTTCCCTGGCTCTAAATGAGCAATTACTTTTGAGCCAAGGAGTGTATTTAACTCCTTTTCCAGATAGCAGTCTTCTGTGGTCTCTTCTAAGCTCTGTTGTGTGTGCCTGCTTAGATTTTATACACGTACAAACACTTGCCAGCAGTACAGTAGAACATATTTATCAGCATGCAGAGCTGCAGTGGTTATAATGAGTGAAACTTCAGCAGAACTGTGCAGGGGTCAAACAGATCTTGAATTGGTGCCCATCTTGCACGTATAACAAATACGGGCTTTCTATAGTTGCATATAGTAAGTCTAACTAGGAATCACCATGTTAGGTAATACTAGCAATAGTAACACCATTACTACGTTAGTAATACTTCGTAAGATTAATAACTACCACATATACTAGTTTTTCTATACAATAAAATTATTTTGTGTTATAGGAGTTATTGTATCCAATTCTGAAGTCAGCTGCCTCACTGCCATTGGAACCAACCTGGGGAGAAACATGAGCGTCTGTCATTGGGACCCCAGACACTGGTTTCTCTCTGTAAAACATCAGTGCTACTATCTCAGGCTAACACAAAGCTGTAAGCCAGCTGTAGATATCCTGCTGGAAAGCTAATGAAGCAGTTAATTTTCAACTTCATCCTGCATATCCAAAACTTCCCAGTGTATAATGTCAGGTACAGGAAAACAAGAGAAGAGGAAACTTGTTTGGGACTGGCTGATGTAACGTACTGCAGCAGTACAAAGACTCTGAGGAATGTGAAATATTACAGTGATCCAAAAAGATTAACTTGTGGACAATATCAAGAGAAACAGGTAACATTAATCATAAAACAGCTGTTCACAGGGATCTAAGAGTTCATCTCTTAGATGCTACCTCCAGCTTTAGTTTTCTAGATGCGGACACACATACACAGTTGCTGGGAGAATGTACAGCCATCAGCATGGAAATCTGAGTATCTCAACTTCCCTCCTTCCTTCAGATAGCACTGGGATATATTTGTAATGCCATATGTTACGACACACCGATGTGTACCAGTCTGTTTCAAATACCATGCGTACATATTCACACATAGATGAACACACAAAATATCGAGAGTTCTGAGTCTGGGGATTTTACAAATTTTCAACCAAAAAATCTTTGTGATGTGATTTTTCTAAAACAAGTTGGACTCATTATTCTCATCTTCAAGCGCTGTAAAATGTTAAGCCCAGACATCTATGTTAAAAAATAAAGAGCAGAATGCAGCTCTTCAGTTTGCACAAACTCCTTGCATGCAGAAGTGGCAGACATATAATTTAATCACCAAAGAAAATTGCTACTTTGTCAGTCATTAAAGTTGTGTAAAGAAGTGTGTTAATGTCAGCACTTACATTAACAAGTCTAGCAGGAGATTATGCTGTTTACATACATCTAAACTGATTTAAACATTCTCTTTCTGCAAATTCACAGAACGGAATATATCAGCCATTAACCAATCATGTGCAACTCCATAGAAAACATCACTATATACAATATTAGCTCCATTGTCCCCCAAACACCACAGTTTACTACATGCCTTTCTTTCTTTGTGAATCACACGACATCCACAGCCATCAGTTCATCATTTCCATTGCATGGAAGAATGCCATTCTAGACATGATAAACCTTATCACACAGAAAACTCACTGTAAAAGAGAAACGTGTTTCCTAACTCCACCAGATGCTTCACTTGCAGCTTTCTACCTCTGACAAAACTCTTTCTATGATCACTTCTGAACTAGTCACATTTTTCAAAACTCTGTCACGGCCAATCTATTTTCTACAAGAGAGGTGGCCCAGGGTTGCTCACTGGGTTCTTCAGCTGCAAGGAAAAATTTAGGGTGGACTGGAGAAGAGTAGTATAGCCAATTCAAACTCCACCTGCAATCACAGCTCTTCCAGTCGCACAGAAAAGAAAAAAAAAAAAGAAAGGAGGAGGAAAGCAATAAATTTAGGCATTCCCCTCTTCCCTTAAATTGCCTGTCATGAGGAAAAGAAAAGACTGCCTAAGCTCACTCAGAGTTGACAGACTAATTATGTCCCTAACTTGCACGGGCTTACTGCAAACCCCCACCCAGCAGTTCCAGATGCTGCAATCTGAGCACGCTACCAGCAAGAAAGGCTCTAAAGATTAAGGACGTTGAGCAAGTAACTTGCCACTGGGAAAGGTTCCACCGAAGAATTGTGTCCCCCTCCTCTCTTGGCACTCTGCAGTGAAGAGTGAACTTTTGTCTCTCTCCTTCCCTACCCTAAAAGTCCCAATCTTGTCGCACGACTGAACAGATATGACTGAATTGGCTCTGATGGCAGGTTTTAGTTGCCGTGCAATATTTAAGCTCCGAGCCAGACGGCTTTATGAAGTGAGTGACAGTTGGTGACGTGGGGAACAATAGAGAGAAAAAAATAGAGAAAAAGAGGCAGAGACACAGAGAGGAGAATCCACTGAACATGAAAAAGCAGAGGGGGGAGAAGGGCAGGCAACAGGCAGTGAAAACCTAATACATGCATAAAGGGGAGTTTGCATGGTTAAGCGGGGACTGGAGCATCTCTGCTGATCTGCTGTCATTCAGCACAGCTCTGCATGCCTCCACTTGCCAGTCTTTAGGTGTCATGCTGTGAGAGGTGAAAAGGGAGCATCCGCATCACTGATGGTGGCAGAACTAATTAAACTAATTTGCTACTTACACCCAGATCCAACAATTGAGTCTCGCTGCTGATTTCCAGCACTGGCGATCACTGGGGCATCACATCTGTATTTGACATTGTTAGGTACTTTGGTCTGGTCTTTGACATCTTTCAGCAGGAAAAAGAAGCGGTATGGGAAAACTAGATCATCACTCAGTATTAACCAAAGCTGAGAAAGACTTGTTTTATGACCTAGACTTCCAGTGTCCTTGTTCTGCTTAATTTATCCTCTAAATGCACTTTGTACATACATCAAAAATGTCCAAAACAAACTGTTTTGTTAAGGAGTGTAGCCAAATTCCAGCAGCCCAGCAAACAGGAATGTTACCTCAGGCAAAGCCATCTGCAAAAATGTTGGAGAGCCCACAGAAGAGGAAAATCTCATGTTCACTAATGCATCTACAATACAACGAACTGCAAAAAGATTTGATTGTGAGGCAAAGCATATTGCTTTATTCTGATGTGCTGTTTTGGTAGTTTTTCTGTATTAACTGCTCAGAACATGCTCTTGATGCCCAACTCTGAAGAAAAAGATGATTATGGGAAGCAAGATACGCTAAACAATGATACCAGTACCAGGCTTATGAAGTGACAAATGAGAAGTGGCTCTCCTCCTTCTTTGCACAAAAACATTACTGAAATTAATGCCCCAGAACAGCTCTGGGAGATCTCTGTTTCTAGAAGAGCTGTCATTTGAAAGAGATACTGTTATTTGAGGGCCACAAAATTCTGTATCTTCAAACTAGTCGTTTGAGGTCTCTCTTCAGCATTTCTGGGCATTTGTGCCCAAGGAAATGCAGAGCCTTACTTCAACAGTAGTCTTCCCAAACTGCTTTAAAATGAGTTGTGCAGCAGCTCTATCCAAAGCGCAACTTGAGGCAGAAAGAATGCTTCTCAGACTTGATTTCAGTGAGCTAGAGGATAAATGAGGGATGGAAAATAAGAAAATGTGGCAAGAGGGACCACTTTAGAGAGACAAAAGAAAATCAATCTCTATGCATAAAGTTGGAATGAAGGTCATATTCTGAACACCTTAATAAATCACTCTCTTAATAGAGAACTATTAGAGATCTGGTGCATGACGTTTTTCAGCTTGTGCTATATAAAGCATTGGAAGAAGCTTCCTGGCAAGAGGACACACAGAGAAGATGATACAGGGCCCAAGAACATGCGGTGATTAAGAACAGGCTCCATTTGTTCAACAAGAGGAAAAAAGATGGTAAGGAAGAGTAAGGAATTCCTTTCTTGCTTTGTTTTGCTATATACTGCTGAGATAAACTAGGATAGATATGCGAGTGAATGGTCATCACTGCCACCCTTATCCTCTCTTTGGGGAGCAGTTAAAGACAGAGGACTAACTAATACAACCTGTGGTTAACATCTCTAAAGAGTGCCTGCAAACTGCTGCATCACAGCGACCAAATGGTTCTGATGTTTAACTGCCTGTCTCTTTTTAGACTGAAACTGTCCTTTTGAAAAACAACTCTGGCTGAATCCCTTCCCTGGGCTCTATCCCTCATAAAATGAGCCAAAACCCAAATCTGGTATGTAACTACATGGCTACAGTCCATCTTTAAATTACATCCAGCTACTGGCAGATACATTCCCCATTAACCTCCTATACTCCATTTGCAAACACAATCCAAATAGCAAACACTTTCTGGCAAGTTGCGGAATACTTTGCAAGATGTAGCTGATGCAGAAATCACAAACTCACAAAATTCTAGGTGTTGGGTAGAATCTCTAGAGATCGTTGAGTCCTACCCCCTACTAAAGCAGTTCCCTACAGTAAGTAGGGATATAGAAATATAGAAAAGCATGCAGATGATTGTAGGAGACTCCATCACCTCACTGGGCAGCCTGCTCCAGTGCAGTGATATTCAAGTCACTCATCTTTGGATACACGTAACTTCTTTTTGAATTATCTGAGTGTATTTTTTGCTGTCATTATGGTGCAGAACCTTTAATATGGGAACTGTGAGCTTGCTGGACATTGGTGGTTTGGATAAAAACACATGATGCCTTCAACTGGCTTCCTGAAAAAAGGCAATGCTGAGCTCTGCATCACGTTCTCCAGCTAACTAGGGCCTCCTCCCCATGCACAAGTACAGAAAGTAGTCTAAGTAATGATGGCAAATGAGAATTCCTGTTGTGTTGGTACTCCAGAAGGAAGCAGTTGAGATGGTGACAGAGAGGAAAAGATAGAGCATGAGAGAACAAGAAGAGCACTTGATCCTCTCAGCCACCAGGGAAGTGCTGGAAATCAGGACTGCTTTTGTAACACAAAAGTAGTGTCTGAAAGAAAGGGGTAAAGACCATTAAAGCATAGGTCTACAAAGAAGGCTGGCCTCAGAGAGCATGGGACATCTGAACTAGATCTGCAACAGACTGTATTTTCTTCAGAAAGAAGTTTGTTTCATAGAGGCAGTGCACAGCAAACTCACTACCTTAGACTTCAGGAGAGCAAACCTTGGCCTCTTCAGGGATCTGTTTGATAGTTTTCCATGAGATAAAGCCCTGGGAGTAAAAAAGGCCCAAATATAAAAATAAAGCCTACAAAGGTTAGAACCAAGGACAGGTAGCCTGGGAGGAATATGGAGAAATTCTCTGAGCAGCCAGAGATCAGGTTGGGAAAACTGAAGCACTGATGGGATTAAATCTGGCCAGGACATCAAAGACAATGGAAGGGCTTCTGTAAGCACATCAGCGTTAAAAAGGAAGACAAGAGAAAATGTGGGCCTTCCTCAGAAGGAAACAGGAGATCTGGTTATCTGAGATATGGAGAAGGCTGAGGTATTCATCAACTTCTTGCCTCAATCTTCATCAGCAAGTGCCCTCACCACACTGTCCATGTCACAGAAGGCAAAGCCAAGGGACTGGGAAAATGAAGAACTGACCGCTATAGGAGAAGAACAGATTTGAGACCATCTAAGGAACTTGAAGTTACACAAGTCCAAGAGACCAGATGAGATGAATCCATCTCCGTCCTGAGAGAACTGGCAGATGAAGTTGCTGATCCACTATCTATCGTATCTGAGAAATCATGTCAGTGTGGCAAAGCTCCCATTAGAAAAGGGAAAGTATAATGTCATTCAATAAAAAGGGAAAAAATGGAAAACAAGGAGCTAGAGGCCAGTCAGTCTCATATATCTGCCTGGCAAGATCATGGAACATATCCTCCTGGAAACTATGCAAAGGGAAATGGAGGACAGAGAGGTGGCAGGTGACAGCCCACTTAGCTTCACTAAGTACAAGTAGTGCTTGAAATTTGGTGGTCTTCTACATCAGGGCTACAGTGTTAGCAGGTGTAGGAAGAGCAACTAATGTAATCTACCTGGACTTGTACAAAGCATTTTACACAGTCACATGTCATCCTTATCTCTAAACTGGAGATTTTTGTTAGATATTAGGAGGAAATTATTATTCAGAGAGTGGTGAGGCAGTGGCACAGCTGCCCAGAGAAGCAGTGGATGCCCCATCCCTGGAGGTGTTTAGTGCCAGGTTGGATGGGCCCCAGGCAGCCTCAGCTGGTGGGAGGCAGCCCTGCCCATGGCAGGGGGTTGGGGCTAGGTGGGCTTTGAGGTCCCTTCCAACCCAAATCATCCTGTAATCCTATGCTTTCTTATCATTGAGCCGTTTTGATATTTGTCACAAAGCTCCCAACTCCTAGCACCACTGTGACTGTAAAGTCTCCACTGCAACTCAGCCATTTGCTCACAAACTACGAGATCACTTGGGGAATGTGGGATTTTTCATTCCAAATGGATTTCCAACACAGACATGATGTCAGGACAAGGCAGGGCCATGCTATTGAACAGCTCTTTTCATGCATGATAGCAGATTGTGCAATTATATAGTGCACAACCCTAGATAATGATACCTCTCCCTCAAACAAAGTTATCTTCTCCTGATCTGCTTAGCTAGAAAGTGGCACATGCTTCCTGTTCTTCTGCTGAACACACAAACCTTTCACTTCTGGCTGAAGCTGAACACTAAACATATTAAGCTTCCCTGCAAGAAGATGGACGCTCTACACAACTCTTATTTGCTAGATATCGCCCAACTTAAAGGAGACTTGCTTTCTAGTAACATGCTTCTTTGTCTGTCATTGAGCCAAAGCCATTTATCAATCTGATCACTAGGAGTGAGAGTCTCATCAGCTCCTATCTTCTCTGTACCACCTACTGAAATCAGAAATTGTTTAAATGTAGGTAGCCCTGGACTAACCTTTGGGCAGAACTCGCCATGCCCCTGTAACGCTGTTAAATGTCAGTCTCCCTATTTTTCTGAGATTTTTTCAAGACTTGCCCAAATTTCACCTTCTCTTCAGAGCCCTCAGAAAATTGGGGAATGCATTTTGCTGGGAAATTACAGGCAAAACAGAAAGAAAGGAGAGGGAGAAAAATATAAAGCATGAAGAAGCAGGGAAATTTGAGAAGTATGCAAGTAACAGGAGAAGAGGTGAAGGCAGTGTTGGATTATGCTGAAACTCAAGTGGAAGATAAATACTTCAGGGAAATGTGTTTTTAATTTAAGGGATGGAACGAAAGTAGACAATGAATAAAGATAAGCAGAGCAAAAGTGGAATGTCTTTCAGTATCTTGCTAACCTAACTGCAGTTCTGCTCTGAAAATTACTGTTATAAGAGGAACTGGGGAGTTACAGTCCAGTCAGCTTAACTGTGATACTTAGAAAGATACTGGAGCCATTTATGAAACAATCGATTTGTAAGTAGCTAAAGGATGATAATGTGATAAGAACCAGTCAGCAGGGAATTTTAAAGAATAAACACCAACCAGGCTGATTTCCTTCTTTGATTAGTAGGCCTGGTAGATGGGAAGGAAATGGTAAATATTAGGTACACCGCTTTTAGTGAGCATTTTGGAAATATCTAGACCACAAACTCCCAGAGAAGCAAGCAGTTGAAGTGACGACGCAAAAGTGCACAAGTACCATAATCAAGGGTAATTACGTGGGCTTCACTTTTCTAGCTAGGAGGACCATGTCCCTGAAGTTTGGGCTTCAGGGCTGCTCAGCACTTCCATGAAAGATTTGGACAACAGAACAAAGGACAAAACCCGAAAGGATGGTAGCTGGGCTGAGGGGTT